TATATATATATATACACACATATACGCAGTCTAAATTTTCACGAATGACTGATATAAGTATACAGTAGAATCTACTCCAATCAACAATTAAAAACATTTATCTATGGAACTATAATAAAATTGTTTAACAAGTTCTTTCTACGCCTATCACTAATATACCCATTTAACGCTACTAAAGAAATTGAATAGATTATTTCCAGATCATTGAATCCATATTTTCATTAAAAAAAATTAAGATCATAAATTTATAAGCTTCTCCAGTATTGTAATACATAAACCGTATTTATTCTTGAGGCTTCCACGGGTGCTTTCTATATAAAGATTATGCGTTTCGCGGATATCAGGCTGCTCCTCGCCCTGATGAAGTGAACTGCAAGGTTCACGAAACATTTCCAAGAATGAATCTGGAACACGGAGAAAACCCGCGAAACGCATAATCTTTATACATAAACCGTATTATTTGAAAATATGAATTTAAATTATAAAATAAATTATATGAAGCTGATTTGGAAATAAGTCTTTCATTCTAGCTTTTTATTCAAAGCTAAAATGATTTTGATAAAATATTAACATCAAGTTTAATTCGTTTAGAAATTATTCGATTAGAATAGTCGAAAATCACAGAAATATAATGTCTCCTTTTTTTTTGCTTATTTATCATCATATTAACTAAATCATAAAAGAAGGAAAAGATCGAATTTAATTTAAATTAAAAAATGTTCTATTTATAGGAAATGATAAAATCAAAGTTAGATGATGAAATTGTTTTTTCATTTAATTCAGCTTTATATATCCATGATTTTCACTCTGTGTATCATTATACGAACGTATTAATCAATAAAGTGATTGAATGATCAAAATTCACGCAAATCATATTTATAAAGTTATAGGATTATATGATATAGTATTGCATAACTAGTTCTTGAGTAAATATTTTACCTACAATAGTAACTTATCTGGGAGTTAACACGTTAACCAATTACTAGATAACTCGTATTTGGCAGTCTGTCGCTGGACGCCTATGAGAATGATCATCACTTGACTAATCGATCTATGTGCCAACTACGTAGCGTCCGAGGTCGGATTTAATGAACTTCCTCTGCCCCTCCCCTAATGTCAAAGTGTTAACACAATTCTTTATAGGTTATATTTTATCTATAAGAATTGTGTGATAAAATTTACTTCATAATAACGTTTTCACAAGCACATGTACGGAATAAACTATTCTTTTTTGATAGCAAAAATGTAATAAAAGAATTGTGAAATGAACATATTCTAACATTCTAGATATTCATAAAATAAATCACAATATAAAAATACAAATCAAAAATCCATCTTCTTTTCTCTTTCATTTCGTATTCATTCTCATTTTTACTCGAATATATAACAATGCAGTCCCAGAATGTACTACCTTGCAGTTTCTAGCATTGTTTTATTTCTTTTCTATTGTTTTTTAATTATTTCTTTTGCTCATTGCTTGTTCTTTCGATAACGGAGACGTTTGCGATATTGCTGGCGATGTGATTTTACTATCGTGTGATACAAAATCCTTTGTTTAGTTACTCTCTCGAAGATTTCAGCCAAGATTATTAAAATCTCGCAACAGAATCTTATGTTAAGAGTAACACTTTCTATGATTGCAAGTCATCGAAATGTTATCGATAGTTCGAAAGGTGATGTGTGTATATACGTACGTATGATATCCTTAAATGCGACAGATCTAACTACGCATGTACAGGTAGTAACAGATCGCTATGATACCCCCACCGATCCCAATGCCTAAGCTTATTTTAAGAGGGTTAAATAATGACCTCTTGAATTTCTGCCATTCTTCCATCTCCTTCCGTCGACGTTTCATCTCGCGTATTTGCGTAGCTAGTCGTTCATTTTTTTCCGTTTTGCGCCGACGTACATCCCCTTTCCTGTTTCAAGAGAAAAAAATTCATAATCATTAAGATAAATATTAAATAATTCGCGGTTACTAAGAATTCGTTACTCACGCGTCTGAATTGGACGGAGAATTGTTTGTTAGAATAGAGTTCTTAGCGTCATTGGAAAGATCTTCGTCAAGTACTATGCCATCATCTGTATGTTGTTCGCATACGTAATTTGAAATAGATGTAGATAGGTTTGTATCTGATAATTCTACATGATTCGGTGGTTCACTTGGTAAAGGTTTATCAGGTGGTCCACTTACTTCATCTGAAATTGATATATTCTTTAATAATAATGCTGCTTGTTATGATATAAAGAGCATTTTGTTTTAACAAGAAAGAAAGAAATACCATTATCAGTTGAACCATCCGGACTTAGATCTGCCATCATACTTCGAGTTAAAGACTCTCCTCTAGGAGGTGGTAGAGGAGGAGGTTCGTCGTCTCTTTCTAGTGGATGGTTACTCTTATTATTCATTTCGTCATAAGTCGTTATTATTTCATCATGAGTTGTTTCGTTGTTCATATCCTATAAAGCATATTATAAGATACAATGAGTAGTGAGTGATTAAATTTTATTGCAATAATCTGCTACTATCAAAATAATTTTGTTGTCTGCAAAAAGAAATACTCTGTCTATTAAAATACCGAAGTAAAAAATATCGAAAATTAAAAGACTATATTAATTGTTATTATAATCTACTCAATAAACAATAGCAACTTTAATTACTTATTACCATGTTTTCGAGTGGCAATTGTTTTGCTCCTTGAATGATGGCAGCATATGAAAAACAAAGTTGTTCGGGTGTTTGTATGAGACCCATACGAGATCGTCTCATTTCCAGCAATTCATGCCGTACATTTAGAGCATTTAAACCATATTTTTCAATCTACAATTAAATAACACTTGGTTAACGATTGCCAAAATACAATAGTTTCCTGTAAATCGTTTGCTGCATTCCACATACCAGTACTAGACATGCATCAACTAAACAAAATGTTCCCGATCTTCCTATTCCTGCAGAACAATGAACGACGGGTGGGCCAACATTTTGATCTAATGCTCCGGATTTCCTGACGTCTGCCAAGAAACGTAAAAAGGCCGTTGGACGTTGTGGTACTCCAAAGTCTGGCCAAGTAGTATAATGAAAATGTAAGACTTCTCTACTATCGTTATTTTCCAAATCCGTTATACTGTAGATAAATTAAAAACATTGAATGTGTCATAATACTTGTAAAAATATTAAGAATGTGATTATTAATTATAAAGCAAATCTTGAAAAAAATACATGATACAATTAATAATATACACATATTCTTTTACCGTAACGTTCTAGTAGTATAATCTGATGATTCTTTCTTGCTGATATAATCCACTTTTATACTGACATCTTCGAATGTTAAAGTAGGTTTTACATCGTCCAATGGAAAATATTGATGACATTTGATTTGGTTTTTCTCGATTATCTTGTTTAACATCAATACAGCTCTACTATTTTGCTCCCATACCATTAACCAAAAATGACTGATAGTATTTGGCAAAGGTCCTTGCGTTAGGATATATTGTCTTTCAGCATGATCCACCTAATGTACAAATTATGTGATATATTTACTTTACCATTATCAATCGCTTACATATGGATAGTATTTCTTACATAATATATTTACCCGTATAAGATTGGCATGAATGTAATCACATACACCTCTTTTGAGTATAATCCTAGTGTGATCATATGGCGCCACATCCCTGTAGCGATTTAAGGTTTTGTTCTGTGGTTTTTTTGATTCATTGCATGTATATTCAAAAGCTTCACATTCGCTACGTATGCTCTGTAAAATATAAAATAAATCATTAACGAATTGTAAGTGTACAAAGAAAACTTTTTTTTATTAATAGTACTTTTATTAATAGTAATAGTTTATTAATAGTAGTAAGTATGTACTAACAATAAATATAAATTAAAATAGTTAAATAAATCTTGAATCTCTTGAACCTCTCTCCTCTCCCTCTT